TCAGTGTCAGCAGTTAGTCCTCTTGCTCTTGGATTGAGCCAGATGGAGAAAATGTCTTAATATGACAACTAGAAACCATAGTAGAAGGGAACTTCATGCACAACAATAATAATTTTGCAAAATTTTGCAAAAGTCAGTCATGCAATTGGGTGGCAGAGCATGAGTCACATTCAGAAACGCTTCCCTAGTGATGAAAGCCCCAGCAGTTTCATATATTTCTAATTACATTAAAATATAATATTGCAGAGAGAGTTGGTTAGTTTTGACTATATAAAGCTTAGTCATTTCCCTGAAAAAATCAGTAGCTAGTCACAATACTTAGATATGTTTTGTAACAATGGCAACTACCCCAAACAATATAATTAAACCAATAAATTTTATTAAAATATTTCTCTGTTTCTTTCTTAAGTTCACAGTCAAGGGGACTCTTCACCAGCGAAGACTGAAGCGTTTGAGCATCTAGGTGTCCTGCAGCCTCGTGGTGTGCAGACACCCAACCAAGCTCTCTCAGGCAACACGCAGGGAGAACATCTCCCTATGTCCATATAAACAGCTCTTCCCTGTTAATCTCTGCTAACTTGTCCGTATTGCTAAACTGAGGCTACAGTGAACACAACCCATCCGGGGACCCCTAGGTCCCAGGTAGCTCCCAGGCTGATTTACAACCAGAATCCTTTTTTCTTTTTTTTTCTTTTTTTTTCTCTCTCTTTTTTTTTTTTTTTCTGAAAACAGAAGAGTAAGACTTCTCCCTTTTCAAAACCATAGAAGGCTTCATCTTTTTCAACCACAGCTGAGGAGGAAGTGCTCTTTTTCACTGGCAGTAACTGCCTGCGCGTTATGGTGATTCCCTATTCAGTTTGTTGTAGGAGACTTGGTTCTGCAATCTAAGAGTCGTTCATATCCTCATGTGCAAATAGGTCCCTTTTTTTTCTTGGGGTATACTTAATATTTGTGGGGCCATGGGAAATATGAAGAAACATGAAATTTCCATAGTCCAGTGGCTATAGCCCAGTCTGTTCTCTGAAAAGAATTTAAGGCTGCTTTATGTTACTGACAACAAAAGTGATTGCCTTTGCCTAGCGGGATATTTTTCCTGAATGCTTATGGGTCATTTTATATGTCATGGGGAAAAAAAAAAAAAAGAGCATTTTATATTTCAGGCAAAAACTTTAATAAAGAGCACAAATCTGAATAATGAAAGTATTTAAATCCATTTAGCAGAAATCTGTAATAATGGGAAAGCATATTCAGTATCTGGGTTAACTTACTTTAGATTCCTAAATAAAATATCAAAAAAAAATGCCATTATTTTTGGAGATGTGTGCAGACCTACGCGTATTTGTGCAAGAAAGTCAGAAAAATTCTGAGTTGTGTGAGGACTTTCCCAATTTTAGTATAACAGGTATCAAACCAGTTCAGGCATTTGCATCTTCCCCCCCATAATTCACTGTTAATGAGTTACACAGCTATGCAATATTTTTGTTACAGTTACTCAGCCTCATTCCTATTTCAGTCTTGGCTGTGAACCAATGCATCACCTCCCTGCTGGAAAGGCAGAAAATACCAAAATAAATTAGCAGCATGAATTGATGGACTCACATTGCAAATACCTGTTCCTTTTTTTCAAGCGTGCCAATGGCTTAGCTCTTTTCTGCACCTACAGAAACGCAGCTGAGAGCGATGCAGCAAGTTGAACCAGCAGCTGCCCTGTCAGAGTCCTGGAATTACAAGTGAATCACTAAAAACTGTGCAGATGAGATGCGGATCATGAATAATCCTCAGCCCTCCTCCTGAGTGATGTGCTCTTCCTGTGTGGCCTTTACATACATAGTCAGGATCCTGACCAGTCATAGTCTTTGAAAATCCCACAGCATTTTCCTTAAAATCAGGCAGATTGCTGTGGTTTCACTTAAAACAACCACCTCTGCAAGACTTTTAAGGTTACACTTAGATTTAGTATTTACCATATATCTCTCTGTGCTTCAAGAGATAGCAGTTCTTGTTCCACTTTGGGTTTGGGGATGCAAATGTGGGTTATATTTATTACAGCCTTGCAAGAAATGTAGAAATTCCTCTACTTTTGTATCTGTGCAAGCGCCAACCAGCAAAAGGCACTTACAGGTTATTGTAATTCTGGCAAATGATAGTATCATAACATTCTTGGGAATATTTCATAGTGAGAAAGAGCAATGAGGCAGGTGGCCAAGAGTGCATATGGCAGAAGTGGCATAAACATATGGAAATTAAACGTGAAACGGGGGGGCAGGGAGGAAAATTAATTTGCTAAAACAAACACTTGCCTGAATTTTAGTGCTGAAGCAATTTCTGAGTGAAGGATGAATATTGGATGTATGTGCCATAAAGGGATGTTATGGAGCATAAATAAACTGCCTTCTGTTAGGGAAAACAGGGTTGCTTGTGCAGAGTGCACCTTTAAAAAACCAACAATCTGTTAAAACTTCCAGCACTTTTAAGTAAAGCATCTTTAATACATGAGGCTGTTTGGTATGTGCTGCTTCACTTTGCTGCCTGCTCATGCAAGGAGCGTGGACTTTTGTGCCAGGATTCAGAGGCCCATGAACTTGATGGCTTAAATAAAGAGCTTAAATCAAGAGCTGCGCGAGGGCTGCAGAGCGCGGCGGGGCGGCCGGGGTGGCGGTGCAGTCGGCCCCAGGACGCCTGTGGAAGGGGCGAATGGAGGGGGCTGCAGAGCGGGGCTGCAGGCGCTGCGGGCGCCCGGGCCCGGCCCCCGGCCGGCCTCGCCTGCTGCACTCGGCTCCAGCGAACAAAGCAAATTCAGACCTCAAGGGCCTGCATTTAAATACAAACTGCATTCCTGTACCTCCGGTTGCCATTCAGGATCAATCTGAAGCAGAGTCTGCTCTGCCAGCCAGAAAAAAAAAAAAAAAAAAGATAAAAAAGAATAAAATCCCTTAATAACACATTTGGGCTGCAGTTCTTCTGCTTAAGTGCAATACCTGACATGTGCAGGCTTTTACCTGAGATGTGTGATTACCAACTGGGATGTGAAAATTACCTTCCCCTGTGCCCAGTGTGTTTTCGGCTTTATCAGAATTACCAGGGAGTATATTTGCTTCTGCAGGATCACAGGTTAGAAAGCATCAAAAATTAATGGTAGCTTTGCATCCCCTAGATGCTGAGGTAATACATTATGTATATCTACACATTGTAATTGTCACTTTCCTCGACAAAGAAGCACAAGACGTCATTTAGCCGACACCTCGGTGCAGGATAGTTTCCTAGAATACCCACTTTGGTGCTTTGGCCAGGCAAGTTTCAAAGTCTTTCAAGACTCCCTTAAGGATTTCTGCATTCATATAGAAATCAGTCTTAAGGAGTTGTTTTACTACTACACAGACTAAGTTTTTCTCTGCCCCATTTCATACCACTGCTATTGCTCTATACTTCCTGCATCATTACTCCCTGCCACTAGTGGCCACATTTTGCTCTTGAAACCCTGGGATTTCTGTCTGGCCTTTGAGGGCACAAACAGAGAGTACCTCCAGACGTGACTAATGAATTGCCATTCTGCTGGGTGCTTTCCTAAGATCCCAATCTCATACCTACTGAAAGCAGTGGTGATGTCTGCTGGGTGCAACACTTGCAGAACCAAACATGGGTTCAATTCAAGCCTGCCACTCTCCCAGTTGCAAGGATTGCATCCCAGGGCAGGAGAAAGATCCTGATTGCAGCTGTTCCAATAACGTACTGTGGTCACTAAAACCTTGCGTACTGGCCAAGCGTGCTGCTCAAACAAGGGCAGTGCTAAGTGGGCCTCTTCACTTAGCCCTGGGAACGCTCGCCCAGGGAAGGGAAAACACACAGGGCCAGGAAACGCGCACTTCAACGGAGACGTGGGGCCAGCCTCGTTGGAAACCTGGGGAGGCTGCTGCGATAGGAGGCAGCTAATGACAAAAGAAGACGCAGGCGCTTTATGTCTCTGCCTGTTTATTTCAGTCATGTGGCAGCCCCTGGTGAATACTTAATACCCTTAGCACTTGCTCTTTCAAAAAGCTAAGAAAGAAAAAGAAAAAAGTTTCTCATCTGACAAACAGATGAAAACTGACAGTTTTTAAATACCCACCCTGTGTTATATGAAGCATTTTGCGCCTGAGGTGACATTAAAACCAGCGACCTCCCAGCCCTGCCCCCGCGGGAAGCAGCGCGGCGCCCCGGAGGCAGCG